TGTCTCGAACCCGTGGGCTCAGGCAATTCACTCACCTCAGCCTCCCAAAGGCGCGGCATTACAGGCTGAGCCACCGAGCCCGGCTAATTTTTTTATGGAGACTAGGTTTCACTATGTTTCCCAGGCTAGTCTCAAACTTCTAGCCTCAAGCAATCCTCCTACCTCCATCTCTCAAAGCATTGGGATTACAGGCATGAGCTACTGTGCCCAGCCTAGTGCTTCTTTATTATACATTAAATAGCAAGATGTAACACTGAGTCAAAAAACTATCATAATTTTGAAACAGTGATGAGCACAAATGATAAATTTTTTTTAAGTCAGAGTCTCACTCTGTTGCTCAGACTGGAGTTCAGTGGCAAACTCAGTGGTCACCACAGCCTTAACCTGCTGGGCTCAGGTGAGCCTTCCACCTCAGCCTTCCAAATAAGTGGGACTACAGGTACACACCACACCTGGCTCATTTTTTAATTTATTGTAAGATGTGGTCTCGCCAAATTGCCCAAACTGGGTTTAGACAAACTGCCCAAATCCCTGGGTTTAGACAGTCTTCTCGCCTCTGCCTCCCAAAGTGCTGAGATTACAGATATGAGCCACTGAGTTGGCACAAATGATAAATTGAGATACCTGCAACAACTGTAATGTGAAATTTAAATATTCCATTTTTATTGGTGTCACAGTCATGGGTATTACTGCTGTAGTTTGTAACCGATATTCATAAATAGGAGGAAATCCCAATTCAGTGGAGGTTATGAGAAAAAAACTATTTTTCCTTTTCACATTCACGGACTCCATTGCCTGTGAACAAAGACTAAGAAGCAATGTTTCACAAGATTCCATCTGATTTTTTTTTTTTGAATCGGGGTCTCACTTTGTTGCCCGTGCTGGAGTACAGTAGCACGATCATAGCTCACCATGTTCTCAACCTCTTGGGCTCAGGTGATTCTTCCACTTCAGCCTCTTGAGTAGCTGAGACTATAGGCATATGCCACCGCACCCAGCTAATTTTTTAATTTTTTGTAACAATGAGGTCTTGCTATGTTACCTAGGCTGGTCTCAAACTCCTGGGCTCAAACAATCCTCTTGCCTTGGCCTTCTAAAGTGCTGGAATTATGAGTGTGAACCACTGTATGCCTAGCCAGCCCTTCTGTAATTGAACAGAGAATTCTATTACCTTTTCTGAGGCAGCCTTATCCTTACATGAGCATCTCTTTTTAAAATACTTTTCCTGGTGGCCGGGCTCAGTGGCTCAACCTGTAATCCCAGCACTTTGGGAGGCCAAGGCAAGTGAATTGCCTCAGCCCACGGGTTCGAGACCATCCTGGGCAACTTGGTGAGACATCGTCTCTACAATAAAATTTTTAAAAAGTTAGCCAGGCATGGCTACTTGGAAGGCTGAGGCGGAAGGATCACCAGAGCCCAGCAGATTCACGTTGGGGTGGCTGTTAGTGTGCCACTGCACTCCAGCCTGGGTAGCAGAGTGAGACTCCAACTCAAAAAAATAAAAAATAAAACGCTTTTCCTTTGTTGAACTAAAATGTCTCCATAATCATTGCATGAATTCTGTACATGACAGGCTTTCATATATTTTAAAATAAATCTAACCCATAGTCTTCCTTTCTTTTGGCTTTATGCCAGCTCTTTCAAAATCTTTCTTGTTGGAGAAAAGGGGAGTTCAATGGATATAGTTTCAGATTTGCAAAATAAAAAAGACCAGATTGGTTTCACAACAACATGAATATCCTTAATATTACTGAACTATAAACTTAAAAATTGTTAAGATGGTGAATGTTATATGTATATTTTTCCACAATGTGTGATGATAATTGTTGAGTTTCAGTGTCCTCAAATTTCTAGTTGCTTTCTTATAAATGTGCTCTAATGGATCGCTGGGAAATGTACTCTAATGTATCACTGGGATCCAAAATGAAATGTGGTTCTGAGACATGTTCTCATTAGTAAAAAGTGGGATTGCAGCTGTTATCGTTCTAAGTGCTATATTTCTGTTACTGTGGCCTACTGTTAGATTATTTTTGGGTGAGGGGAGGACTGCTGCAGGGCAGGCAGTCATAGTGGATAGTGGCATCATTTTAGGTTTACCCCTAGAACTTGTTCATGTGTATTGCTGTACCCAAGCATAGCACTTTGGTATATCTCTACAACATGCATTTTGTTAAATTTGGTTCAGATTATTTTGGCCTATCAGAATCCATTTGGCTTTTGATTCTGTAGTCTGTTTGAATGCATTATGCCTCTGAGTTTCCAGTCAATCAGAAACTTCAACAAAAAGTTGTGATGAAAAGAAAAACAAAAAGCAGAAAGAGCCCTGTATCATATCACTGGAAATCTCTGATATGATGCAAATTCATAACTTTTGGGTATTCTAGCCTATTGCTCCATTGTATACAACAGAATATCAAGGAAGACTTTATTAAGTATCTTCCTGGACTCTATTTGCAGTACCCTATGGAAAATCAAAAATTTTAGTGGCATACTTAAAGTGATTCAAAATCTCAAAAACACACTAAATTTAGCTATGGAGCAAAACAGTTACTTCTTCTTTCTGACAATTTCTCATGGATAATTTCACATTCTGAAGGAGGGCAAAAACAAGCAAATAATAAATAAATAGAAATAAAATCACTCAACCGGTTGTGGTGGCTCACGCCTGTAATCCCAGCACTTTGGGAGTTCCAGGTGAGAGGATTGCCTGAGCCCAGGGGTTCAAGACCAGCCCGGGCAACTTGGTGATACCTCATCTCTATAATAAATCAAAAAATTAGCCAGGCATGGTGTTGCACCTCTATAGTTCCAGCTACTTGGAAGGCTGAGGTGGAAGGATTGCCTGAACCCAGCAGGTTGAGGCTAATTTTTGGCTGTGAGCATCTGGGTGACGGAGTGAGACTTCAACTTAAAATAAAATAAAAATAAAAATAAAAATCATCCAGTATTGTCACACTATTCTCTTGGCAGCTCTTCAGCAACATAGCAAAAATCTAATGATTTTTGGTCTTTGGATTTACCGCTCGTATATAGACACAAAAGCAAAGTTCTCATATTTCCTAGTTTCTAGAATGCTTATCTATTGTTAAAGGGAGAGAAACATGATAAGGCCGGAAAACCCTCTGCAACTTGGCATTTTTATTTGAAATTCAGTTTCTTTATCTGCAGAACTCTCACATGGTAGAGAATTACTTGAAATTTGGGAGAAGTTTTCTCAAGAAGCTATATTCCCAGGACAGTACCTCATGTAGTCAGCTGTCATAGTGCCTGTGGTGTCTATGTGACTCCTATTGATTTTCCCAGAGGATTGCATAGAATTGATGGTTTGTGTGAAGTAACAATTTACAGCAGGGGTCCCCAACCCCTGGGCCTGGTCCATGGCCTGGTAGGAACCAGGCTGCACAACAGGAGGTGAGCAGTGGACGAGTGGAGCTCCGGCTACTGTCAGATCAGTAGTGGCATTAGATTTTCATAGGAATGAAAACCCTGTTGTGAACTGTGCATGTGAGGAACCTAGGTTTGCGTGCTCTACTTATGAGAATATAATGCCTGATGATTCCCCCAACCCCTGTCTGTGGAAAAATTGTCTTTCATGAAACCAGTCCCTGATGCCAAAAAGGTTGGGAACTGCTGACTTACAGGACTGCTTAAGGGTTTTTTGTTGTCACTGTTGTTTTTTAAAATATTCTAGGGTAAGGAAAAGGACATTTGACTTTATGAAAATTTCTGATTTGTTGGAAGAGAGATTGTATTTCATCAAATCTAAGATGCCTCTCTCTTGTTCTTTTCTTTTCTTTTCTTTTTTTGAGTCAGGGTCTCACTCTGCCATCCAGGCTGAAGTGCAATGGCACAATCATGGCTCACCACAGCCTCAACCTCCTGGGGGCTCAGGCTGTCCTTCTACCTTAGCTTCCCGAGTATCTGGGACTATAGGTGCACACCACCACACCTGGCTAATTTTTTTATTTTTGTTGAGATGAGGGTCTTACTGTGTTTCTTAGGCTACTCTTGAATTCCTTGTCTCAAGCAATCCTCCCGCCTCAGCTTCCCAAAGTGCTGGGATTACAGGTGTGAGCCACTGTGTCCAGCCTAATTCTTAATTCTTAAATGTTAAAATGTCTTTAAAAGCCCTAATGTAATGGCAGTTGCTCTTGGAAAATCTGTTATTTAGGGGTGTTCCAGTGGTGCAGTTTCTTAGCACGCAGTGCTTATATGGAAAATCTATTAGTTGGCTATCAGTTTTCTATCTAGTGTCCTTTAATATTTAGCTCCTTTAGAAGGGGCAGAATACTACAAAATTTCTATTAACTTCTTGTTTTTTCCTACCAGTTGCTTTTCGACTATATGATTTGGATAAAGATGACAAGATCTCCCGTGATGAGCTGTTACAGGTATGTGAGATAACCTGTGCTTGGGCCCTGCCTGCTTATTTTTGTGGGCAGAAATTGTTCTTTCCTTCAATAAGCATTTATTTAAAATGTGCTAAGTACAGAGTTCTGTCCTAGATATAAGGCAGAACAGATGAACTTGGAATGACTCATTGCAATGTCTGGAGACAGAGGTCTCCACTACTTTAAAATCTATTTATTTGTTTATTTTATTTATTTATTTTTGAGTCGGAGTCTTACTGTCGCCCAGGCTGAAGTACAGTGGCACACTCACAGCCACCGCAGCCTTGACCTGCAGGCCTCAGGCAATCCTTCTGCCTCAGTCTTCCAAGTAGCTGAAACTACAGACATGCACCACCATGCCCAACTAATTTTTTTTTTAATTTATTATAGAGACGAGGCCTCGCCATGATGCCCAGACTGGTCTCGAACCCATGTGCTCAGGCAATCCTCCCACCTTGGCCTCATGAAGTGCTGGGGTTATAGGTGCGAGCCACTGCACTTAGCCCTTAAAAGCTATTTAAATATCTTTTGGGTGCTGCCTAGCAGACTTAAAATATACAACATGATTTAGATCAAGGAGCTCCATTATTGCCAAGTGAGCTTGTTGGCTACCAGGTAATTCTGTGATACTTAGGAAAATGCTGCTGTTTAGTCTGTCCTTTAGCCCTGACATAAGAGTCAAGGAACTGCTGCTGTGCCTGTGTATGCCTGCTCAAGAAACTGCTCACTGTCATTTGTTGCTCCTGGGGGCAATTCCTTGTCCTCCTACTAGCAGTGACTGGCATTTCATCCTATTAGTATTGCTCTTCTCTTCCACTCAAATTTTCCCTTCTGTAAGTTTAAAAAAAATTATCCTTTTTTGGCTGGGCACAGTGGCCTGTAATCTTAGCACTTGGGATGGCCAAGGCATCCCTGAACCTGGGGGTTCTAGACCAGCTTGGGCAACTTGGTGATACCTCATCTCTACAATAAATCACAAAAACTGGCCCGGCGTGGTGGCATGCGTCTATAGTTCCAGCTGCTTGGAAGGCTGAGGAGGAAGGATCACCTAAGCCCAGCAGGTCAAGACAACAAGAGTGAGACTCCAACTCAAAACCAAAAATTATCCTTTTTTAAAAGAATACACTTGCTGGGCTCGGTGGCTCAGCCTGTAATCCCGCGCCTTTGGGAGGCTGA